CCTAGCTTGTCTTCCTACACGGGCCATCTGACCACATGTTCTGTGTCCTCACTTCCCGCTGCACCCCGGTACAGGTAGCATGAAGTGTGGCACAGAGTAGCAAACAGATCCTCTGTGTGGTGCCTACACGGGGTTCCCCACACCTTGCCCAGGGCAAAGACTACCCTTGCTGGCGCAGACAATAACGTCCTGAAGCAGAGACAGGGGATCCACACAGTAGCCTTCATCTTCCCAGCTGTCAGACTTGGTCCCAGGACAGCACTGACCCGGCTCTCAGCCTGGGAAGGGTTGCGCGGGTCAGAGCAGGTGGCTCCTTCCTTGTCTGAATTCCCCGTGGTCCCATTCCCCAGACTGGCTACAAAGGAAGGACTGAGGATCTGTACTGAGTGGGCTTTCCTGGGGGCCTGACGACAGACTGTCAGCCCATAGAATGGAATGAGACGTTTTTTGTGAGAGATAAGGACTACAAAGGCCTGAGCTGCCCACGAAACCCTCAGCTCTGGTCCCGCCTCAAAGCTGCCTTTGCGCTCCTACACCGTCTAACCACCGTCTGCGGCGCCTGTCACCCTAATTCCCCAGGAGTCATCCACAGGGTCTCCGGCTTCAGAACTCAGCTCTGAATCTGGCTCTGACCAACCAATCAGAAGATCCATGGAGGGTCACGTGTCATGGCTGGTCTCAAAAAAAAAAAAAAGAGCTAGTGTCAAGTATGTGCTAGCTTGACTTTTTCTTTTTTCTCCAACTTGACACAAGCTAGAATTACCTGAGAAGAGGGAACTCCCCTGAGAAACACTTCCACCAGACTGGCCTGTGGACAAGCCTACCGGACATTTTCTTGATTAATAACTGATGTGGCAGGACTCAATCCACGGTGGGCAGTGTCGCCCATGGGCAGGAGGTCCTGGTTTCTATAGCGAAGCGAGCAAATGAAGAGCAAACCCATAAGCAGCACTCCTCCATGACCTCTGCTTCAGGTCCTGCCTCCAGGTTCCTGCCTTGCTTGAGTTCCTAGGAGCTCTGCCTTCCCTCAGTGAAGGACTACCATGGGGAACTGTAAACCGAAATTAACCCGTTCTTCTCCAAGTTGGTTCTGGTTGTAGTGTTTATCACAACAATAGAAAGTATAACCTTCCCTCCACCACATACACACACACACACACACACACACACACCCCGCACACACACATACACAAACACCACACATACACCACACACACCACACACATATAGCAGAGGGTGTGACCTGGAACTCCTGATCCCGCTGGTGCTGAGATTATAGACATATCTCACCACATGTGGTCATATAGCACTGGGGGTGGAGCCTAGCACAATGTAGCCTGTTCTGTTCTTGAGTTCAAGGTACTCCTCCTGCCTCACTTCCCAACAAGGGCCTGAGAACTCTATCAACTGTGCTGTGTGGTCCCAGTTGCTAAGGGGAAAGGTTTTTTGGTTTTTTTTTTCATCAATAGTAACAGAAAAATCCTGTACAACAAAAAAAGTTGAGATGGACTACCCCAGGAGCTGACTATTTACCTCAGGGTGTCCCAGACTGAGCACAGTAACATGTGGGGACACTAATCCTTTGTTGTCCCGTGAGCTGTAGGGTGTCGGTAGTAAGCCAAGCCTCCACAACAGGCCAGTAGCTCATCCTTCCCAGCTGTGACCACCAATCCACTTCCAGACATTACAACACATTGCCCGAGGGACATGCTATTGAAGATGGCTAATTTCTGTCCCTCAGAACTGGGAGGCTCAGGCAAATTAAGCCACCAGCAGTCACTGAAGAAACAAAGCTGGGCTGGAGCCCAAGAGTCCATCCAAAGCCTGAATCCTTCCCAGCCAGAGTTTTTAATTTTTAGCTAATAATAATAATAATAATAATAAATAACTATGTGTGTGTACACATGTATTTTTGTTGTGCATGGGGGTACACATGGCATGTATGTAGTGGTCCGAGGACAACCTTGGGGGTCAGGTCTCACCTTCTACCTCCTTTGAAGCAGGGTCCCTTTGCTGTTCCCTCCTGTGCTCACCAGAGTAGCTCACCAGAGTAGTTTCTATCTCTACTTCTCATCTTATAGGAGGTCTGGGATTATGCACACCCAGTGACACACCCATCACATAAAGCTAGAGATTCAAACTCAGGTCTTCCCGATTACATAGTAAGCACCTTACCCATTGAGCCATCTTGAACCCCAGTCTATTTAAATAGCATCACTGACTTGCTATCTAGGTCAGATAGGCATTTGGGGGGTAGTAAAACTGTTTTGAGACAAGGTCTCACTTGATAGTCCAGGCTACCCTGGAATTATGTAGCCCAGGCTGGCCTTGAACTCTTGGCTTCCCAATAAGCATCACTCTGTAGAGAAAAATCCGCCCAAGGAACGGGATCCTTCAGGAAAGGGGGTACGGAATGCCAAAGGTCGCCATCACGGGCTGGCTTTGACTTCCACTTCTTTCATGGAGAGAACAGGGAAGCCCATCCCCAACCCTTCTGCTCCTCACGAGCATCTTCCTTGAGCTTGTGCCTGGTATCAAGCAGGCATCAAAAGGGAGAGTTCAAGTCAGCCTGGCAATGTGAAATGATTCTCCCTGCCCAGAGCCCGGCAAGGAGAACGGACATGGAATGTGTGAGAAGCAGCCCCGCGAAGAGCCAGAGGCCAGCTGGTGCATCCGAGCTCATTGCCAGAGTAAGTCAGAGCACGCTGTGACACCCCTAGCTTTGTCTCCCGCCTGAATGTCTGGCACAGGAAGCCATGAGTTTGAGCTGTCGCAAGCACGCTGTCCCTGCTGTCTGCCAGGAGGGTCTGATCAAAGCACAGCCGGGGGTTTAGTGGTTTTTATTTAATATCCAGAAATCCAGAGGACACTTTGCTTCGAACAATTAAAAAAACAATAAAGCGCAGCAGCATAGAGGGGGAGCGGATTCGACTGTTTGAAAGTAAGATCCCGTTTCGTCAAGCCGGTGAGGACGCAGGGGCCCTGGGCCCAGGCCTTGCACAACTGAACAGAAGGGGAACAAGAGTTGCCTGTGCAGGTCCACCCAAGTCAGCAGGACTCAGGGAGAGCGTGCAAATCCGTGTAGGACGGGGGGAGCAATCCCAGAGCTGGCCTGCAGACCTGGGGGGGGAGGAGGCACAGACCTGCCAGACCCTTCCTTGTGACTTTGTGTGGAACATGACAGACGATGGCATTTCTACCAGTTTTGGTGGCCAGACCTCTCTTCAAATAAATATAATGAGAGACTGTAGATCCAAGCAGTGGAATGTTCCAGAACTTCCTTGAACTGACAACTCAAAAAGAAGTATTTACATTCCAGGGGGCCCCCAGTGAGAGTCATGGGAAAAATTGAGGAAGGGGTCATTAATTACCAGAGGGTATGGATGGGGACAGTCCTCCCTAAATTAATGGGGCAACAACTGGCTATTTGTGAGGGAAGCCTTGCCCTACACAGGGGGCCCTGAAGTTGGCCTAGGAACCTTGGTTCTCAGTCCTCTGTCCAGGTTGAGGGATGAGTGCCTGCTCCACAGAGCAAAGAGAGCAAAGCCATTAGGTAGCCCTTCACTGGTATTTCAGAACCACTTCTATGCTCAGCCAATGGGGAAGGTCATGCCTTCATGGGACCCTGACTTCGTCAGTTCTCCTGCAGGGGAAAGAAGCCCACTTGGATTCCAAGTGAGACATGTGTCCTCCAGATAGGGATGCTCAGGAAACCACCACCCTTCCCAGACCAGCCCTCCCCCACCCCCTCAGCACTATAGGTCTCTGCAAACCCTTCACATCAAGGCTCCCTGCCCCGGGGATGTGAGACACCCTTGCCAAGACCACCTGTGAGCTGGGCAAGATGGACCCAGCAGCTCCCAGATGCTGCTGTGGTTCTGTGCAAGGAGGGAAGGCAGCACAGAACATTCCGATCCTGGCTATTTTGTCAGTGTGGCTCTTTAATGTCACCGCATCCCACAGGGAGACACGGTAATGCCGTTTTAATTATCTCTTTCCCCTGCTGGGAAGCCACCTCCATCGGAGCGGACTATTCCAAGCCCATCCCCAGCTTAGCAACAGCCGAAACAAGGGACGATATTAAACTGTTTGCTGGAACTACACGGTCGGCATTCTGTTGAGTATCAACACCTCACTCCATAGCCCCGGTCTGCGGCAAAGTGGGAATCAGAAGAGGGAGGTTCACCGTAGCTGCCGTGAACGCTTAAGGCTCAAGGAAGAGGGTGGTGGTTCAGAAGGCTGGAGGTAGGAGGAACTTGAGAGGGGGTGAACCACAGAAGTAGGGTTCCTGAGACAAGAAGCCAGTCAGCCATGGCATCCCCACTTCTCTAGAGTCAAGGAGTATGAGTGGGGACGGCTTGTGGGAACAGCAGCGTTTTCTTTTATAGGACGTGCTGCAGGGGATACCAGTAGTGTTCTTGGAAGGACGTGGACATTTCATACGCCCAGCTCAGACAAGCCCCACAAACCTGCCGTGTCCGAGGGAGGTTTCCCTGGAGACAGGGACCTTACAGCTGTCATGGGGCAGTGAGGCCATACAGGGGATGGGATTTCTATCAGAACTAGGAGGAGGCTAATGCAGGGAAAGTCAGAGAGGAGCGGTGAAACCGAAGCCTCAGAAACCAGCCCAGCCAGCACCTCCACCACCTTCTTCCAGCCTCCAGAGCTGCCAGATGTACGCCTCTGTCATCCTGGCGGCCGGTAGCCTGTGGTGAGGCAGGCCTAGTAATAGATACCCACCCCCTTGTAAAATCTCTAAAAATGTGTCCATTCCCTAACAGGGCCTCAGAGACGCAAGGTTCCGGCTCCAGGCCGGCTCAAGCTGCACATTCAGAGCTAGAAGACACCCAGATAGGCTCTGTGTAGCTTCCCTGGGGGCCCGAGGCATTCTGGGTCCTGAGAGTTTATGTAAAAGGTCAGTCAAGACCAGTAAACCGCAAAACGGATGTGGGGGGTTGGGGGAGACACACGTCACAAGTCTAAGGCTTCTGAGACAGGAGTGAAAAACTGCAAGGATCTTTTTACTAAGACAGGACCCCGCTTCCAGGGAGAGCCCAGCCCAGGGGATTCCTGAGGACAAGTGGGGCGGAGTCCCCGGAGCAAGGGCTGCTGTGCTCCTGCCAGCAGTAATTGCCCTGTGGGTTGCAGCAACAGGTGGACAGCCCTCTCCAGCTGAGGACTAGGCTGGGGCTTCGTTCTTTTTTTTTTTCATCTCTTGATGGCAGCAGAGAAAAAAAGGAAGTGAGGCCTCAAACCTGAGAGGGTGTTTTAAGCACCAAGTTCTCAAAGGCCTAACCAGTTGGCTAGGGAACCACAGAGGAAAGGGGATTAAAAACAACAACCGAACCAGGCAGGGAGCAGAGAGGAGGGACATTACACAGCTGGGATGGGAAGCCTGAGGCCTCCCTGGGGAAGCATCTCCTGGGGAAGCAGGGGCTGTGGATGGACACGCCCATTTTCCTTGCCTAGAAATTGCCCTGGAAGGATCAGCCGCTGGGTCACTCCACGTCCTTGTACTTGGTGAACAGAGTGTAAAGGACCCGCAGAGTGGATTTGAGGTCCAAGTTCACCACATCTGCAGAAGGAAACAGACAGACAGTTGGCCGAAGAGGACAGACTTCCAAGAGCTGGAAGCTGCGTTGCCACACGTGCAGCGGGGGAAAAAAACGTCTGCTGCCCATGGACACACAGGTTGCCTGGGGCCCTGGCCCCTGCTGTCCCTCTCTTTGTGCTCTGAGCTGCTCAGGTGGGGTGTTACCTTCAGGGCGGGCCTTGGGCTTCTTGAGTCCTCCATCCAGCATCAGTTCAAAGGCAAAGGCCACATTGTGCACCTGCCGGAGACAAGGCAGCAACAGGGTCAGTGACGGTGAGGTCCATGTCCCCACACCTGACCACATCCACACATTCCTTCCTTCCGTGTGGAGAGACTGACTGCTTCCCTCTGTACAAGGTCCACCAGGACACAGGACAGGACACAGGGACAGCACACACAGTGCGTTCACTAAGGGTAACTATAGTTCCTGTTCCCCTGGTCACGGATCTGGGTTTGGGGAAGGGAAGGATGCCAGCTTCTAGCCTGCCCTCCTTCCCCAGGGCTGATAGCCAAGGGCCCTCTCTGAGCCAGAATCTATCACCTGATGAGAAATGACAGCTTGAGAAATTGAGGCTTGGGGCAGACAAGTCCCTTGCAAAGGTCTCATCTCTGGACAGTCCTCTGAACACAGGGCCGCTGCTTGCTGTCAGATAACTAAGGAGCTGGGCATCCATAGAGGTCTGACTGTGTCTCTGTGGGATGATAACGCTGTTCCTGAGGCAATCGGGAACCCTGTTGAAATTGAGGTTGGCCTAAGGGTCAGTGTGGAGATCCCTGGTTCCAGGCCTGACCACCTGCCCGCCCACCCTGCCCTTCCCTGCCCGCCCAACTGAACCCTATTGAGACTTCCATTGTGCTAATGACGACTCCCACTCAGAGCCTCTCTGTGATGTTTAACGTGTATAGAAGTCAAGACCAGCCAAATCATGTGCAGCTTCTACCTGCCCTGAACAGAGGAGGGTGGGAAGATAGACCACCAAACCAGCAAGGGCACAGACACCAGCTGGGCAGGCTTGACGGCTCACAGTGACCAACTGTCTCTCCAATAGTAGCACTGTCTGTCACTCCACTGTAGGTGAGCAAGGAATGCCAGCGATAATCTCCCTGACAATGTCAATCATGAATTAACAGAAGGCGGGAACCTCAGGGTCTGAGCTGCCGGTCTTGTGGCTCCCCCTCCCCCACTCCAGTGCTGGAGAGTGAGCTCAGTGTTTGGTTTCCTGCGCACTAGGCACATGCTCCATCGATGAGTTATTCTTCAGCTTAATGTTGGTTGTTTTTGCTTTTCTGAGACAGTCTGATTTAGCCCAGACTGGTCTCAAACTAAGCTATAGGAAGATAACTTTGAACTTCTAACCTTCTGCCCCCACCTCTCAAGCGCTGGGATTACAGATGTTTGTTATTGTGCCTGTTGATACAATGCCAGGGATCGAACCCCAGGACCTGTTGTTATGTTAGGCAGGTACTCCACAAACTGAGCCACATCCCCAGACTAATGTCTTTGATTAAAAATGCAGGCTGCTGCTTTACTTGAGAGTGCACCTTCTGGTACATATCCTACTCTGCTTGCTGGATCTCTGCCGCCTTCAGCACTTTTGAGATGTCAGCAAGATGCCTGGGACCAAAGCAAAGGACCCTCAATTTTAGGCCACAGAGCTGATCAGAGACACTGCCTGCCCCAATGCAGAGCATGGCCCTCACAGCCATGAGGAATAGGAGACAAATACAGGGGTCAAGGATCACAGAGGTGATGACCACCCCTAGGAGGAAGAGGTCAGATTCTATGTGTGTGTGTGTGTGTGTGTGTGTGTGTGTGTAGATATATGTAAATATATGCAAATAATAAAGGGACCCAACTCTCATACCTCCCTGAGGACAGGGCCCCAGATGCCTGCAGAGTCACACACCCCAACCTCCTGTCTCCCTAGAGAATGGGCAGACCCTCTGGATGTGTGCTCATCACCAGAGGCATCCTTGAAGCCTTCTAGGCCAGGGCAGTGGCTAGCATAGATGTCAATCCTGGTTACAAAGGGAAAAAGCCAGGCTGAGGAACGCGGCTTCTCTCATATTTATACAAAGTCTTGTTTAGACAAAGACCCAGTTCTACTGGTTATCCACGGCTCTCACCAGCCTTCTGATTAGTTTAAACAAAGACAAGATTTCCCAGAGACAATACAACCACACAGGGGTCTGACTATGCAAGAACCCATTCACCAGACACTCTGACCTCTGATCTCTACAACTACATCAGGCTCCATGATCCTGGTGAGCTCTGAACCATTCACTGCTCACTGCACTCGCTCTCTCTCCATCCCCAGCGTGGACTCCAACATGCCAAGACCTCTCTAATCTGCCCAGTTCTATCTCTGCAGGCACGATAGGAACGGCATTTGGCCATGAGCAGACAGACTGCTCGGTGCCAGGAACCAGCAGATTGATAAACACTGGCCTGTCCCTCTGCTGCTACCCTGACTCCCACTGCAGCTGCCACCGTCTGCCCCGTGCCTCATGGGCCTCACACTTTGGAAAAATAAAGTGGCAGGTGCCATGAGTCCCGAGAAGCCCAGCCTGGCCTCTGCCAAGCCCGCAGAAGTGCAACACTAACTCTTTAGTTGCAGACCTAACTGCAGGGAACCCGGGAAGGACAGACAGCACAGAATGAGCAGAGACAGGAGCACATGTGCTGTGGGGTCCATCCAGAGGGTCCTACAAGGGGAATTTTCTGGGAAACCAAGCACAGCAATAAAGCATACATACATACACACTGCCCCACCACATACACAAATATACTTACATACACATGTATGCTCATATACATACAAACACATACATACACATACATATTTAAATCCACAAGGCATACATGAGGACACATACACACATACATGTGTACATAAACATAGGCATGTATATTTATATAAATGAATACACATACATATACAGGCACATACACATACACACAAACAGAGACATATACATGTACACACACCACACACACACACACACACACACGCACACACACACACATATATATATACACTGACGTACACACAGAGAGACATATACATACATGGCCACACACAGTCATGTGTGTATACACACCAAGAGACCTCCATGTACACATATGTAGACATAGACATACTCATGCATACAGACACAGACACACACATACACACGTGTGTGCGCATGCGCACTCATCTTCAGATGACACAAACCGCAGATGGACAATGTCGGGGAACTGCAGCATACTAAACAAGCATCCTCCACCGTCGCTCCCTAACAATATAGAAAGCAGCTACTTTGCATAGCATTTGCATTGCATTAAGTATTATAAACCACCAGACAGGATTTAACATCCACAGGAGGAAGTGCGTAGGCTCCGTGCTTTATACGACATTTCACATGTGGGCCATGAACATCTGCAGGCTTTGGTACCCAAGGGGCCCTGGAACCTGTCCCTAGCAGATTCAGAAAGACAATTGCAAATATTTGGAAAAAAGCCCTATTGTGGCAGGAAGAAAAATAGAAGCAAATCGACACAGCCAAGAGCGTGAAGCAAGAGACATATGCAGGCACATGCCACAGAGCCACACATGTGTCACCCAGGAACCTAACATTTGGAGGCTTTCAAAACAGGGACGCCCAGAGGGCTGTGTGCGGCATTTGACCAGAGTCATAAAAACAAGCAAACATACAAATAAAAAACAAAACAAAAAACCCAAGCCTGTGGGAAAGACTTGGAGAGATGACAGAATAAACCCGGATGTACTGCGTGACACAAAGGAGTTTTCTATTCTGTCTTCAGGGAGCTATAGCAGACTGAACCCCATGTGTTGTGTAGCTTCACATTCTAAAGGACACTGTAGGGTTGCGGTCAGTCAGTCGCATCGGGGGACATTCCTCTGTCTAGTTCAGTGAGCATGGCTAGGACCATTCTCAGGAGACAAGGCACCTACCTTCTGGTCGAAGCTGTCGGGAGTCAGGTAGAAGTTGTGGAGGGGGACGAAGTAGTCCTCAAGGAGGCCCAGAAGCAGAACCAGGTACACGCCATCTGCAAACTTCAGAGAAAACTCAGTGACAATTCTGGGGCGTGTGTGGGGTGGACAGACACCCTGCATGTGTGTAGGAAGGAGTGGGAATGCCCACAAACTGCAATGCCCACCCCAAGACCCGGTCCTCACTCAGCACTCCCACCCTGCACTGAGAACTCTCAGCAGAGCTCAAGGGAAGAGGCCCATGCCCTAGTCACCCACAGGAGGGAACCAGGGGCTCCGAAGAAAGGGTTCTCACACTCCTGACACCCATACTCCTCCCTGAGCAAGTCAGGAAGGGGCAACAGCTGCTTTGCAATGGTAGCAATGGGCCCCTGAGATAGAGAATACAAAATTTCCCAACTTAACCAGTTTTAAACAATTTGAATCTTTAGAGTTATTTTAATGTATGAGTGTTTTGCCCGCATGTATGTATGTGCACCATGTATGTGCCTGGTGCCCATGGAGGTCAGAAGAAGATATCAGATCCCCTGGGACTGGAGTTATAGCTGTGAGCTGCTATGTGGGTGCTAGGAATTAGACTCGGGTCCTCAAGAGGAACAAGTGCTCTGATCTATCGCTTCAGCCCTTACATTTTTAGTATGTGTGTGCACACATGTACCACAGTGCACATGTGGCGTTCAGAGGACAAGTCTCCTCCCACCATGTGGGTCCTAGGAGTTGACCTCAGGTCATTGCCTTAACCTGGTGATGGGCCACCTCACCAGCCCCCATCTTTGCTGCTTTCAGGTGTTCCAGTAGTGTGAAGAGCATCCATACTGCCGTGCACTGCCACCACCAGACATCGCCATTAAACACTGACTGCCAAGGAACCCCCGCACTCCTTCCACTGTTATTGTCGTTATTGTTATTGTTTTTTTTATTACTGATTACTTTATCTTTAGATAATGTATCCCAGGCTGGCCTCAAATGCAAAATGATCCTCCTGCTCCAGCTTTCTGCATGCTAGCATTAGGGATTTGGTTTTGGGTTTGTTTTATAGGGGTTGTTTGTTTGTTTTCTGCGTGTGAGAGAGAGTGTGTGTGTATGTGTGTGTTATATTGTATTGTGTGTGTATGCATACACCTACAGGCAAGCATGCAGAGGTCAGAGGGCATCAAGTGTCCTCCTATATTGCTCTCAATTTTATTCCCTTGAGGCAGGGTTTCACACTGAGCCTGGAGCTCACCATTTTCTGCTAGTTTGGCTGACCAGGGAGCCCTACAGATCCTCCTCTCTGGCCCCCCACGGCACTGGGGTTACAGGTGCACATGACCACACCTGGAACTTTTTCCTGGGTGGGGAGGACTTGAACTCAGGTCTTCATATTTGTATAGCATGTGCTCTGGCTCATTGAGCCTGCCCCCCAACCTCAGCCAGTTTTTTAAAAACAGGTTCTCACTCTAGCCTCACCTGCCCTATAATTTTCAGCCATTGTCCTGCCTCAGCTTCCCAAGTATTGATATGAGGAACATATACCATCAGTCCCCATATCCTTTCTACCTCTGTTGACTTTTTTGTTGACTAACCATTTTAATGTGGCTCTCGGTACACTTTCACCACTCAGACAGCTGGCAGCATCACTACTGGGCAAGTAATATTCAGATCTCCTGAATTTGACTCTATTTTTTATTTTTAGATTTATGTCGTGTATGAGTGTTTTACCTGCAATTCTGTGTATGTATGTATGTATGCATGCATGTATGTATGTATAAATGTATGCATGCATATATGTACAAGCACAATGTGCATGCCCATTGTCAATGGAAGTCAGAAGAGGGCACTGATCCTCTGGAATTGGAGTTAAAAATGTTTGTGAGCCACTGTGTGGGTGCTAAGAACCAAACCTGGGTCCTCTACAAGAGCAACAATGCTCTTAACTACTAAGCCACCTCTTCAGCCCCCTTGATTCTCTTTCAATTACATTATTTATTTGGTGAGTGTATAAGTGCATACATGCACATACGTGCCACAGTGTACATGTGGAAGTTAGAGCACAGTCTGTGGGGGGCAGTTCTCTCCCTTAACCATTCGGGTCCTGGGACCAAACTCAGGTTATCAGGCTTGGCAGCAAGGATCTTCATCCTCTGAACCATTTTGCTGGTCCCTGAATTTGGCTCTTTAAAAGCTTATTAAAATACAGAAGGTAGCTTCTGGGGTTACTGGATGTATTTCAACCTCACCACACAGGGCCAGTGAATGGCAGGCACAGCCACAGAATACCTCTACCGTTGGAAGGATCCACCAGTCAGACTTTTAAGATTCCCAGGCAGGACTCCTGGAGAGGCAGGAGCAGTTAGGACACCCCAGCGGCCGTCAGTTTCCAGGGACTAGCACCTCCAAATATATAAACGAGAGCATGAAGGGGAGGTACCCCTTTAAAAGCTTAGATCCTTTCAACCCAGTCCTCCACTGTCCTGAGAGTCTTGGAGACTCCCGCCTGACAGCATTTAAATGGAAAAGGGAACATCACAAATATCTGATTTTAAGACCCAGGAGCTTAGGGGGAAATGCTTTTAAGAAGCAAAAAGTCACTTGTGAGTGGGTAACGGGGCCAGTCACCAAGCACAGACTTAATAGGATGGCCAAAGCAGACTTTGCCTAGTTTACACTGTGTGATAGCCAGGAAGAAAAAGAACAATGAGCAAAAATGCAGATTTCCCCTGGTCTTAGATGCTCTGACTGATGGGTCCTGCGGGGCCACATAAGAAGTGGGCTGCCGTGGATGTGGGGCAGCTGCCCACACAGCCGATGCCAGGCCTCACAGCGCAGGCTGCTTTGCTCTTACACCTCCTCGTCCGCCTCCATTTCTAGATGCTAGCCTCAAGGAAACAGAAAGGTCACAAATAACTGCGGCCAGAACACCTGCCACTCAGTACGCTCGTGAGTGGGAAGTGGTCCAATCCCAAGGCTGCTTTCCGCTAGTGCGGCCTCGCACCTGAAGGCACCTGAAGGGAAGGTAATTATTTCAACAGTGCTGTGGAGGGGATCAAGCTCTGCGACTGAGTTGCATCTCCCAGCCTAAGAAGGTTACGGTTAAAAGGCCAGCGCCAGGCATGGCGGTGCATGTCTATAACCTTGGCATTCAGGAGTCTGAGACAGGAGGAACAGCAAAAGTTTAAGGCCAGCCTGATCTACAAAGTGAATCCAAGACCCTGTCTTGAGGAGAGAGGGCGAGAGAGAGAGAGAGAGAGAGAGAGAGAGAGAGAGAGAGAGAGAGAG